CAGGTGACGCCGGTGTACGCCGGATTGGTCGGCGGTCACGGTAAATTCTAAGAAAAGGAAGGACAGGTAGGCGTGGAGTACACCGACCTCGTCGGCCTCACAACCTTGTTTGTCCACCTTGCTAGCTGTACTTGCCGCTCTTGTCGGTCACCTCGTGCTCGACGTAGCGGTTGCTGGTGCTTCTGTTGGTCACCTTGGATCTGACGTTGCAGTTGTTAGGGCCTCTCCCGCACTCGTGGGGCAGCTTGCTCTATCAACATTTGATCTGCACGTTGGTTGCGTGGGCTTCTACCGACTCACTTGACTGTTCGGGCTGATAGCCTGTTGGAAGCTGCTGTAGAGACTGGGTCATTGCGGTCGGATGAGAAGGCACTTGCGTTGTTGAAAGTAGATCGTAAACTGGGGTTAGAAGCTTCATCTAGCTAGTGGTGGTTTCTAGACTAACAGGGGACCTTCTAGTACCGCGTTGGTTACAAAACTACCAGTTCACAGCCACCGACTCAGTCGTTATTCTAACTACTAAAGTATTTGTTTTAACGGCAGTACGTTGTAGCGGCATGTTTTTCAACATAACAGTAAGTGGACTTAGTAGTCGGCGAGGTTTACGTATTGAGTCGCTTTTGAAAGCCTCAAATTATCTAAATTAACAAAGATGAGGTGTTACATAAAGTTTAGTGCCATTATTGTTTGGAAAAATTTGGACCAATCAGACCAGTTGTCCAAGTTGAAGTCCACAATTTTATTTTTGTCTAAAGCAACTTACAAAATATGAATGGCGTTACAACAACCTTACACCTTATAGCGACCCTAAAAGCAACCTTAGTCCCTGAACCTAATCACCTAACCCTGTCGGAGGACGGGTGTCATGAGCTTTCAAATCTTCAAAAATGAAGTTGCTGGCAGGACATCTATCGCCAAAGCCTCACCGCTGAAAACACAGAGAACAGCGGCAGAGCCCTTAAAGGGTCATAATAGTACCAAGCTTGACGAGACTTAAAATTGGGTTACTCCGAATATATATCTTAAACCGCTGGCATTGCTTCGGCGTTACCAAGATTTAGGATTCACTCCCTTCCTTGGCTGGTAGCCACTCCGACAAAATATGACGATTGTTGGCTTTAAAAGGGGTGTATATCGTCCATATATATGCTACTTTATGGGAAATAAGTGTGTGTTTCGTGGAGAGGAGGCGAGTTGAAAGTACCGTTTGATAATTTGTACAAGAATCTGATCTGGAAATATGATAACGCGCCTTACGTGTTTGGGTACCCTGCAGTCGGAGAGCACATCTGCTTGGCGATTATTAAGCAGTACAGCACCATTTAGAGGCCGAACGGTGCGATAGCAGAGGAGATCAAACAATTCGATTTGAGTGTGATTCATGGTCGGTTCCCATTTCTGCTGGCGTTGCTGAATTTGTCGACTCTATTTGATCAGTGGTTGACTTGATGCAACCTCTCGGTTTTCCAAAATACGGTATCGTTCACCGATCTAATGGAACA